CAGAAAACACAAACACACACGCACACAAAAGGAAGCATTAAGCACGGACCTCGGGGGGAGGTGCAGAGTCCCCACCCCACCTCACATTCGGAGAGTGGAAATGGAGGGGAGGAGCGGCCGGGTTGGGCACTCGGAAATTTTTAAAATGATGGACCCGAGAGCTTGCGTTTGACCAGCTTTATTTATAAAAAATGGTACATATATAAATATTCTTAGACATTTTTGCATTTTACAAGGCTGAGGATTCTTGTTGTGGGTTTTTGTGGGGGCTATGGGCTATTTTTGCTTCCTCGAGAGGAAGAGGGTCTCACCAAGACCTGTGGTTGCTGCCTAGGTCCGAATTGATACAACGGTTTCGTCTGCCTTAAAAAAAAATAATATTAAGAGGAGGAGGAGGAAAACAACAGAAAAAAARGGGGAAAGCAGTGTTTCTAGAGCCGATCACCTGATTTGTTGTGTGTGTCGTTGCCTGAGCAAGCGGGCGCCGGCCAGCAAAGCGCATCTCCCGGCCGCCGCCGCCCTCAGTCCATGTCCACCTCCTCGCCATCCGGCGGGCTGGGTACGACTGCTGCGCCAGTCTCTGCGGCGCCGCAGGTGGCCGGCTCCCCAGCGGGGCTGGGAGCCCGCGGGCCAGGCCCAGGCGACGTCGCCAGCGGCGGGGGCGGCGGGGCCGTGGGGCAGGTGGTCCCCGCGTCCGCGCAGTCCCCGGAACCGCCCTCGGTCGTCGCAGCCGGGGCTAGGTCCCGGAACGCTGCAGGAGCCTGGGCCCCGGGAGAGGCGACGGCGTCGGGGCTTCGGCGTGCAAAGGCCGAGTCCGGGGCGCCGCCGGGCCCAGAGAAGGCCCCGAAGCTGGCCTGAGCCGGCGGCGCGGGCGGCGCTGCAGGCGCGGGCGGCGCGTCCTTGGGCACCAGCTCGGGGCCCGCACCGCCTTTAAGCGCGGCCTGCGGCACTAGGAAGCCCAGCGGTTGCGTGATGGGGTAGAGCAGGAAGTGGCCCTTGCCGATGAGGGTCCGCGGCGCGCACGGCAGCCCGGGCGCGAAGTCTAGCCCCGCAGCCGCCGCAGTGCTGGTGGGGGCGGCTTTCCGGCGCGGCGGCGAGTCAGACAGCAGGCTCTCCACGCTGAACGGGCTTGCCTTGGGCAGGCCTGCGGCGCCGCGCTCCGCAGACGCCGGCGCCCCGGGTCCGCACGAGGCCGAATCCTTGTCTGCAGGGCGGCCTAGCCTCGGCTGCGGGCCGGTGCCGCTTCTTTGGCTCGGGTAGAAGGCAGGGTCGCAGGTGCCGGGCGCAGGAGGTTCGCCAGGAGGTGCGGGCACGGAACCTGCGGCGCCAGAGGCGTGTGCGCCAGGGCCCTTGGCTGCGGCGGCGGGCGGCGGCGGCTCGGGCGGCTCCGGGGACAGGCCGCCGCCGCCGCTGTCGCTGTCGGAGCTGGGAGCGCTGTGCAGGGACAGGCCGCCGGGCGAGTGCAGGTGGCGGCTCTGGCTCTTGAGCAGCTTCTTCTCGTGCTTGCGCTTCTTCTTCTCCATCTTCTCCAGTTCCTTGCGCGCGATCTCCTCGGGGTCCATGGGCTCGCCGCTGCACGTGGTCGGGTGCGAGTTGTGCGCGGGCCGCCCGGGGCCCTTCTTGGTGTTCTCCTTTTTCCTCCACTTGGCCCGGCGGTTTTGGAACCAGACCTAGAGCAGCCGAACAAGGGAAAGGAAGGCAAAATCAGGCGGCAAGCCCGCCGCTGGGGCTCTGGGCCTACCATTCCCTAGACAGGCCTGCACCACCTCGGCTCAGGCCAAGAGAGCCGGATCCAGGCCGTGATCCCTGCCGGCCCTGGACTGGATTTTGACACTCGGGCTGCAGCTTCCAGCAATCACTTTTTCCACCCGGAAGGAGCGCAGATGGGGCCTCCCAGCCAGCTTCCCGCTCTGGCGTCTCACCTCTGGGGTCTGGAGCTGCCCCTTCCTCAAGCAGGGCCGGTGGGGCCCAGGACCGAACGCTGCGGGTTCCTGGTCTCCTGGCAGAGAGCAGGGCCCCTCCGTGCCCTTCCTGGCTTCTCACAGCTCCAGTTCTAAGCAGCGGCCCAGACTGGCGATGACCATTCTGCGGCTGAACCGCTTCTGTGGGCGGGCAGCCTTCCACACCTGTCTTCGGACCCCTGGAGACTGTCAAAGCCCAGATTTCCGAGTCTCCCATGAAGGGAAATCTGGATGCTTCTTCCTCAGGAGGGCCTAGAAAGCCGAACTTGAATGGACATTCTACCACCTTCTCCCCCATCACAGCTACTGCCGGTCCTTCTTTCTGGGAGGACTGGACCAGGGACCAACAGAGCTTTCCCAACTAGTTGTGTTTGGTCTAGGCCATGGGGGAAGGCAAGATGGGAGGTAAGAGGCTGGCCTCCCAGGCCCCCAAAGAAGTCAGGGCTCATCCTGCCTCTTTGGAGCTCTCTGCAAGGTCTTGTCCCCGGGAGCCACATAGGACTTCAGAGGAACAGCAGCCCTAGACCCTTATTGCACAACCCACCACTACACAGTCAAATCCCGGCTGAGTCGACAGAGCTTTGGGCAGCACTACCCACCCCTAGAGAGCGCGATAATTCAAATTCTTTGTTGTGGCCACATAGAGATTCCACACAATAGCAGACCAGGCCTGGTCACTGGGAGCCTTGTCCATGCAGAGGTCCCAGACATTAAAGCAAAACCATCAACAGCCTTCCCCCCCCCTCTTTTTTCTTTTAACTTCTTTTTATGGTGCAAATTCCAGGCTGCCCCTGCCACCAAGAATTACACATTATCGTATGAGGGGAGAAATAAAGGGATCTTGACTTCACTTACAACACTTTGGAACAAATTGAATAAAAGGATTTCCAAACAGAAAAGGTCATCAGCAGAGGCCCAAGCACAGAACCAAAAGACCTTTTTAGGCAAAGCTATTGGTGCTAAATAGGCATTCTGCCAGCATCTGCCTCAAAGCCAGGTGCCCACAGCACCAAACTCGTCTCACCAAACCCAGGAAAAGGAGGTTTCTATACTCCAAAGAAGCATTTAGTTATGCATAGATCATCTTGAATTTTAATGTACCAAATGACTCTGTATTTAAAAAAAAAGAATATCTCTGGCTGACTTCGAATGAAATCAAGTAACTAAAGATAGGAGAAAGAAAAAAAAAGAAGATAAACTCGGGAATATTAAAAATTCAGACTTTTTTTCTTCCCACTTTCTCATATGTATTAACCATTGAAGTTTTCCCCTCCCTTACCTCACCTTCCCCCTTCTACAAAGTGGGGAATAAATACAGGTTTCCGTCTGAATATTTTACAGGCAAAAGACAAACAAACCCGTTTGCTCACGGATGGGAGACAGTCTCCCGCGAGAGCACGGAGCACCAGGGCCCAGCTTCTCCCTTCGAGTCTGCGCCCCGCCGGTGCCTCCTCACCCCAGCCATGGAACCCTTGGAGACCTCTTTTCACACGGGCCGAGCGAACCCACCACACCACTTCCCGGGTCGCACGCAGTCCCTGTTCCCGCTACTTCGGTGCTGCGGCGGCCCTCTCAAGCTACCTAGGCTTTCACTAGTTACTCACCTCCCGTTGCGCAAGGGGTCCAGCCCCACTACTACCACACACGCCCCTACACCAGCAGGCGAGCGCGGAGCGGGCTCGTAGCCTGGGACAACATCCCGCCTCCTAGAACAAAGGCGCACAGCGCTTGGCGAGCACAGCGCCGGACCGCGGATCCGGGAGGGACGCGGGTCTTTACCTGAACTCGGGACTCCACCAGGTCTAAGCGCAGCGCCAGTGCCTCGCGCATGAACACGTCAGGGTAGTGGCTCTCGTTGAACGCCTTCTCCAGCTCCTCTAGCTGCCAGCCAGTGAAGTTGGTGCGGGTACGCCGCCGCTTGCAGCCCGGGCTCTCCTTGTCTGGGTCCCCCGAGTCTGCGGGCACGCACAGGACGCCGCGAGGCTCAGCCACCGGCCCAGACCAGATCCCAACCCCATCTGCGCCCACTGGCCACGCAGATCGAGGGCGCACAGAGAAGGTTGCGCCACCGGCCTGTCACCCAACTCCTCCGCAGAAAAGGCCCCCCTCCCCGCCCCCAACTGTCCTCCTCCCAGCCCGCGGAGCCTACCTGACAGTTTGAAGGGCTGGCTGTCGCCGCCAACCCCGCAGGCGGCCGGCAGCAGCGGCGTGGGGTTGACCACCGAGGCGGCCGCCGCTGCGCAGGAGCCGCTGAGCAGGCCGTCGATGGAGAAGGGCACCGAGGCGGCGGCGGCGGCCGCGGCGGCCGACTGCAGCTGGTGGCCGGCCAGCTCGTACACGTGGTGGTGGCCCAGCGGGTAGGGGAAGCCCACCACGCCGCCCAGCGAGCCCCCGAACTGGGCATGCGGGTGCTCCAGGAGGCGGCCGTCCATCATCTCGCGCGGGGGGCCGGCGGTGCCGGCGGCGGGGCGCGGGGGCGCGGGCCGGGGCCGGGGCGGGCCAGCGGCGGGAGGCGCGGACGGCGGCGGCGGCGGAGACAGGCACCCGGAGCCCTACACATGCTTCGCCCGCACTCCGGCGCTTTACTTTATCAACATCAAGCTCCCGATAATTAGCCGCGGCCCGGGGAATTTGGGACCAATAAGAAGCGCTAATCGGCTCTGACGTCAGAGGCGTGCTGGGTGCAAGGAAACGTTTTCCATATCGATTGCTAATTATACCTGACATGCACCTCAATAAACAGTATCAGGAGCTGTCACAACAAGACGGGGGGGGGGCGGCAGGCGGGGAGGGAGGGGCGCCGCCCAGCGCGGGGCAGCGGCGCGCAGCGGCGGGGCAGGGCCCCTGGCGAGCCCCCCACTTCAGCCCCGGCCGGCCCGCGCCTCCCCCGCGCCGCTCCCGCCCCTCCGCAAATCACTAATAGATTTCCCTTTAAAACATTCACCGGCGTGTTGTGGGGATTTTTCACCAGAAATGCTGTACTCTCTGAACCTTTAAAGTGATGTTGCTCCAATTACAGAGAGACATTGAGCGGCAAAT